CCCTTTTCAGTCTTCTGGTGAAGGCTTTTGATGCACGTAAGTTTTTAATTTTTAGTAGGTCCCAATCATCTATTTTGTCTACTTTGTTTATGTAGTTTTCCAAATTTTTGTTAGTCTGTATATTCCCTGAATTAGTGCCCTCACATTTGTCCTTATTTTTTCATTGATGGCCTTCATAATTTTGGGATTCACATTAGGTCTTTAATCCATACTGAGGTGGTTTTTGTATAAGGCATGAGGTAAAGGTCTTGTTTCAATTTTTTGCATATCGCTTTCCAGTTCTGCCAGCACCATCTGTTGATACACCATGTGATATATTTAGGTACTTTGTCAAAAATCAGTTGGCTGTATGTGGATGGGTTAATTTCTGGATTGTTGATTCTGTTCCATTAATCAGTGTATCTTTCATTGTATCAGTACCAGTCTGTTTTGATAAAGTAACAAAATTTGGGGAAGAGACAGTTTATGGAAAACAATTTCATAAACTACTTCCTAACACAAAAACTGAGCAGTTTGGTGTATAAGTATTTCCAACTATTTTTGTCTTTCATTTTCTTTTTTTATGCATCTAAGTTTTTTAAACTTTTGATTGTAATTGAGTGATGGTGGGCAGAGAAGATCACCAGTTTTACATTCAACAAATCATACATTTAATTTCACCTCAATGACTGCAATCCCCTCCGCCTAATATCACTGTGTTAGGCTTCCTCCCTGTGGTTCTTACTTCCATTTCTCCTCCTTTCCCAACTTTTCTGAGCTTTGTCCTTGGGTAAATGCTGCCGTGTTGATCTTGAATAGTTGCATACCTCACTAGTGGTGTTGTCTGGAGCTGAACTCACCCTGTAGCTCAATTTCAGCTCTGGACTTCAAGAGTAACCAAAGGCCATAGTCTTGGGGTTCTACCAGTCTGTAAGTATCCAGTAAGCCTGGCCTTTTTTATGATTTTGAGTTTTGTTTCACATTTTCTCCCACTCTATCCAGGACCTTCTGACGTGATCCCTTTCAGAGCAGTTGGGAGTGGTAGCCGGGCACCATCTAGTTCTTCTGGTCTCAGGTCCTGGAGACTGATGGTCACATGATCCATGTTGTTCACATTAGTCTATTGAACTAATGCTTTCCAAACATCTTCAATGTTTATAACTCTTCTTTCCTCCAGACAGAGTGATCAATAGTTGTACTGTAGATGGCTGTTTGTGAGCTTTTAAGATTCCAGTGATTACTCACCAAAGCAAGATATAGAACATTGTCTTTGTGGACTACGTTATGCCAATTAACCATGGTGTTCCCAAGACCAGGGTGCTGAGCCCCCAGGCCTAGAAACTCATTCCCTCAAGGTGTTATGTCTAAGAAGTTTTCATAACTTGGCCCTCTATGCCCCACCACATATGTGGATATATTTGCAGTAAAGGTAAATACCCCTGTACAAATGTGAAACCTTTATATATTTGTGAGTGTACTCCCACTCTTGCAAAACTGTAGGCAAATCACTTGACTTCTCTGTCTCATTATTTTACCTGTAAAATGGTACCCATATCATAGGCTTGTACTGAGCATTAAGCAAGCAGGTAAAGTGCTGGCACCTGTGCTGTCAACTGGGTTCCTGAGAACATATACCTGAGTCCTATTTGTTCCCTGCCCTGAGAAGCAGGCAGGCTTGGCATGCTGGCTGAATGAGTGAGTAAAGAGGAGAGACCCTTGGCCTGGAATCCCTCCCTTCTCTGTCTGGACTCATTCAGCTGTCAGTTGGCCAGTGTGCGTTTGGCTAACAGGAAACAGAGCCAGTTAATTAGCCTAACTGCTGGCTTGAGCAAGAGTGTGGGACAGGCAGTTTTTACCGCTATGGTGCTTTTGCCTTTGTCGCTATGGGGCTTTGGGCTGTCTCATGGTCCCTCCAGAGCAGACTCTTGCCCTACCCTGGCCAACTCTGTGGGGCACAGTCTTCTATCAGCCAAGAGGGAGTAAGCCCTCCCCTGCCTACTTCACAGACATGTGATAAGCAGTAACTAGAGAGCAAACCTGGCATCAGCATGCACACCTACAACTATATAAAGTGGGGAGAAGATGGCAAAATCAAAAGATCAAATCTTAGTTGATGTTTACAGCAGGGAAGTTCAGCCAGCAAGTGAAGTGACTGTCCTGTCTACACTTCAATTCTCAAAGCAAAAAAGTAGGTGAACTTATATGTTTACAAAGAGATCCCAGTGCTATAGGGGATGTCCCTTTTCCTCTCTGGGCCTCAGTTTTCTCATCTGTAGAATGGAAAGAAGTGGCAGGGATTTGGGAAAGGTGTAGCACTATTTAACCACTGCTGGTGATGACATCATCCAGGAGAGGGAAGATAGGGAACCTGGCGTTCTGGCCCTAGAGACCCTGTAAAACAATTAGCAGCAGCTTAAAGCTAGCAAAGGAGGCCCTAAGCCTAGGCCTGTTTGTATTCCTGGAGCTGCCAGGATGAGTCTTAGGAGAAGGTTGCCTCCCTAAACCTGCTACACTTACCCCATACCTGTCTGCTAGTGCTCCCAGCTAATAGTATCCCAAGAACCTCCCAGATCTGAGAGTGACAGAGACCTCTTGCTAAGGCCCTAGAAAGAGGGGGTGGAGTGGGCACGAAAGAAGTAATAAGGGGAGGGGAGAAGGCTCAGGTGGGGCCTGGGCTCAGACGTTAATCTAGCTGGCAAGTTGGAAGGCCAGAAAGGATGCCTACAGAAGACAACACCCCAGTTGAGAGGGTTTTGTAAACAGCTTTCTTCATTTCATTGTCCAAATGAATGGAAGCTCCCTCTTCCCACTGGCTCACCCACACAATATTTGAGGTGCACTTAAGTTTTGCTCAAGACTGCATTTTGTGTCAGACGTTTGTGTGGCTGTGTAGGAGACTGCTGGGCAGCGGGACAGGCTGAGGGAGTTGGAAATTTCAAGGACAGGAAATAGGAGGCCACCAGATGTACAGATGCAGGATGCAGCACATGGGGAAGAGCCCGGAGGTTTGGATGAAGGGATGTTTGGCTGGGGGGAGGGGGGGCAGGGGATGACATACTGCTCCCATATGAAGCTGCCAGGGCTAGTCTGGTGTTCAGGAATTGAACAAACATTCTTGAGCTTGTCCTCTAGACTGGCTGTTGTTGTTATTGTTGTTGTTAAGTGCCGTCCAGTTGGTTCCAACTCATAGCAACCCCAGTATAGGGTTTCCAAGGAGCAACTGGTGGATTTGAACTGTCGACCTTGTGGTTCGAAGTCCAGTGCTCATCCTACAATGCCACACCAGGACTGGCTAACCCCTTCATATCTGGGTTACATTCTTTTTAAATACAATCAGTCTTCAAAGATGCAAATCAATACACTCCTTGCTGGAGGTTTTCCCCTGAAAAGCCTTTTTTCCTCTCCTCCTTGTACCTGCAGTCTCTCTTCCTCCACTGGGTCTATTTTTTTTCACATATCACACCCTCTCTCTTCCTTGTAAGAGAAAGTGTCTGTTTGTGAGTGCCCAACAGAGACCCCCAAGTTAACGGTGTGGTAACAGTCCTAGCGCCAAGGACGTCACAAACAGTATCTTATTTAATCCTCTCCTCAAAGCTGAGATATTCTTTTGCTTGTATAGATAAGGAGGTGGGGGTCAGGCCTGGATTCAGACCCGTGCGTGTGAATCCAAAGCTCATGTTAACTCCCACTTCCCTGGCTCTGAGCAGATGGTATAGAAAGGGTGGCTCTGCTGAAGCCAGGGATGGCCCCATCTGGAAGAGGCACGTCTGAACCAGCATGGAATGAAGAATGAAGGTGCAAGGGGTTACATCCTGGAGTCCATCTCCCTGGGGCTGGACCTCTGGAGGATCATTTCTGGACTTGTTCAATTAAAAGAAAAACGCAGCTGCCCAGCACCTGTGGTTGTCTGCCAGGCATCAGGACAATCCCATGCACAGTGGAACCGCTGTCCCATCCTGTGTCACCCCCATTATCAGGGCACATCGGACCACTGTGCTCCAGATGGTTTTCAAAGGCTTAGATCACCAGGCTTTTCTTCTGAGGGATCTTGAGGTGAAGTTGAACTTCCAACCTTTGGGTTAGCAACTAAGCACATTCACTGTTGGCACCACCCAGAGACTCCCACATAGTCTTTTGAGAGTCCTTCCAACCCCCCAGTAAGACAGTTAGTTATCCGCCTCTTGGGGAAGAGACAGTGTGAGTCAGGGACAGTGAGAGACAAGGGCAGGTCGGCCTGGTGGCTTCAAAGCTCATGCTCTTGCCTTAAGCCCAGCTGCCTTTAGGAAAAAAAGAAATCACGGTGGAAGCCAACATTTGAGGCAGAGGATGACTAGGGCGCATGAGCCAGGAGCAGGGACAGGAGGTGGTTGTCCTGCGGCGCGGAGGTAGTGCTCTGCAAGATGGATGGGCGCCTCGGGAGCGGGCGGAGCGCCAAGGCTCCCCGGCAGTGATTGATGGGGACCTTCAGGCCGCAGCGAGATGAGCAGCGCGGCCTCCCGAGGCTCCCGGGAGGGCCAGAAGAGACGAGAGCTATGAATATTTCAGGGAGCGCGCCAGCCCGGAAGGCAGGCAGGGATGTGGGAGGAGGGAGGAGGGAGGCGCCCAGCCGGGGGAGGGGGCTCAGGAGGGTGCCGCAGGTTAGGGAAGGGCAGAGTAAGTGACGATCAAGGGTTTCTGTGAGTGAGTGGGGCTCCATGCGGGAAGGGGGTTCAGGGATTAGGGCGGTGGAAGAAAGGGGGACAGGGATCAATGGAGCGCAGTAAGGGAAGGGGCTTAATGGATGGGATTGAGGGGTAAGGGTAGGGTTCAGTTACAAGAGGAGTTCAGTGGGGGAAGAGATTTCATTCAGGAGAGGGGGGCTCCGAAGGTGAGGACTTAGGAAGTGGGGAGGGAAGGCAGGGGGAGAGGAGGAGGTTTTCCTTCTCTTTGGTGAATTATTGCACCATCGAGGCTGGGGGCCTGTAAGAGAAGCTTCTGCCTGGACGGGAGAGGCAGGTGGTGAGTGGTCCTGTTGCCAGCAGCGTGGCGGAGACCCCGCGGCTGACCGAGGGGGCCGAGCCGGGCCTCGAGTACGCGCCCTTCGACGAGGACGACGGCCCGGTGGACTGCGACTGCCCGGTTGCCTGCTACCGCGGACAGCGGGGGTACAGGTCAGTGGCGGCCGGGCTGGGGGCGGGGGTCGCGGGCCCGCGGACGCCCCTTACCACCCTCTGCTCTTCTCACCCAGGACCAAGCACTGGTCCAGCAGCTCTGTGTCGCCCCCTCCCAAGAAGAAGAAGAAGAAGAAAGGAGGCCACCGGAGGAGTCGGTGAGAGGCCAGCAGGGGGCTGGAGGAGCAGTGGGGGGCACTTACCCTGCACTTGGGATCCCTGCCCTTGCGGGGGTCGCTACCACTGAACCCCTCCCCTTCACCAAGCTTCCTCCCTTTCTTGAGTGATTCCCTTCTGCTCTCAGCTGCCCCCAGGACTGGACACATGACCCCACAGGCCCCTGTGTGACTACCACCCATCTGCTCGTAGACCCCCTCCTCCTTGCCCCTGGGGGTCTTGAACCCATCACTCACTATGATGTGGGTGGCACGGGTTGTAGAGCCTTGGCTGGGCCTCTTGAAACACTGAAGCCCAACTAACCGTCTGCGTCTGTTTGTCCTTTCTCTCCTGGCAAACACCTTCAGCAAAAAGAGGAGACTAGATTCCGAATGCAGGTCAGTGATGAAGGGGGTAGGGTGGGTGATGTCTGCGGGTGGGAGAGACTCCAAGCCCATCCCCCAGAGGCAGGAGGTGTGGCCCCCTCAGAGCCTGGATCCTGGGCACCCGCCATGTAGTGCCAGACATCCCATCAGTGGAATCTCTAACCTTTGGGTTAGAAACAGTCGTCTGTGACGATGCCAAGGAGGCTGGAAGGGTGACTGGGGGACCATGCAGGATCCTTCCCTGACCCAGGGCCTCAAGTCCCTTCTACACAAGGGCCATTGGGCATCCTGGCCTAGCCCCTTTCCAGCTTCATTACACCAGAACCCCAAACTCTCCTGCCTGCCACTCCCAGCTGTTCGCGCCTCCCAGGCCCACCCTCACTAGAGCCCACCCTCTCTGTGCTTACAGCTATGGGAGCTTCTCACCCCTACGAAAGAAGAAGAAGAGTGTAAAGAAACATCGCAGAGACAGGTATCCTGGCTCTTCCCACTTCCTGCCCTCCTCTCTCTTGGGTGCACAGGATTGGTGTCCACCAGGCCACCCCAGGTGGGCTCAGGAGGACCTCTTTATCACCCTACAGGTCTGATTCTGGGTCCCAGAGGAAGAGACGGCACAGGTGAGCAGTGCCCTGCAGAGGGTTCACAAGGGAGGATGCGGACAGAAGCTATTGCTTCCCTTCAGGGCCCCAAATCCAGAGGCAGTGGTGATGGGAGGGAGGAGGGAGTTATGGGAGAGGATCCTCCCCCTGCTCAGTCCTCCCACTCCAGGTATGGACTCCTGGAACCAGGCCTGGGATTTGGGGGATGGGGAGGATGAAGGCCAATCATTTGCAATTCCCACCTGCCCCATGAGTCTACTTTGAGCCTACTCAAGTCCTGAGTTGATTTGCGGCCTCAAGAATTTCCAGGCAGCACAGCAGGTGTCCAAGGGGTGTGTCAGTGAAGGGACAGTTGGGACTCCCCTGAATTTGCAGAGGAAGGACATGCCAGACCAGAGGACCTGTGTGAGCTAGAAAGGCCAGTGGGTAGGAGACCAGGTGGGCGAGCTTTGGCTATCAGGTGGGGCTTCCGGCCTTCAGTCCAGTGGGGCTGGGGGCCAGCTTAGGGCTCTGAGCAGGACAGTGACTTGTTCAGGATGGGTTGGGGAAGGGAGGGGAGGGGACAGAAGGTTGAAGGGGACAGAGATAAGGATGCTGAGAAGGTATAAAACTCAGGGCCTGTTGTTAAGTGCCGTCAAGTCGGTTCCGACTCATAGTAACCCTATATAGGGTTTCTGAGGAGCAGCTGGTGAGTTTGAACTACAGACCTTGTGATTATCAGTCACACCAGGAAGAAGGAAACTCAGGGGCAGTCACACCCCCAGTGTGACCAGTGGATGGGCTATGTTGACAACCCCAGATCTGCTGTGGGAATATCCCCAAGGCCATTTTCTGGGTAGGAGAGGAACTTAAAAATACCTGCCCTTGCACCACCTGATTCTCTCCAAATCCCTCCTTCCCAGTGTGGCCCCTTACTGCCCCCCAGTGGTCACCTTTAGCTTTCACAGACCCTCAGTCCTGGAAGGGACCTGGTGACCAGGTAGGACTAGAACAGCTTTAGGCAAGGTGACTGAAGTCCAAAGAAGGCAAGATGGCTGCCAGGATCCAAGCCTCTAGCCTTCATACCCACTCTGCTTCTGTCCGAAACACATTTCCATGTTTCTTGGGGTCTTGACTCAACACTGAAGGGACAGAACTGGAACCTAATGGCCTCAGAGAGAAGAGACTGAGAGCAGACCTTTGAGGCCTAGTAGGAACCTTCTTAATCCTTTTGCCAAAGGTAGAAGGAGTTGGATTGAGGGGTGGAAGGTAAGCTTTGGGCAGCTTTGGATGAAGGATCCAGAGGAGTTCTTCTAAAGCAGGGAGACGGTGCCCCAGGGACAGCATGTCTTTCTCAAACCCCTGGTGAGCTGGCCCAGGTGGGGTCTGAGAGGTACTGTCTGAAAGGACCAGGGACACAGAAGGGCAGAAATGCTCTTTAGAGGCCCAGACCAGAGACTTGAGGCTGACAGAACTCTAAACTACTTCCTCCTGGGGCCATGGCTAGCCCAGAAGGAGCAGCTGGGGCCCAGAGAGATCATGGGGCCAGGACTATCAGGAGAAGGAAGGCCCGAGGCCTAGCAGAGCAAAAGGAACCAGAGCCAGGGGAGGGAAGCTGAGGCCCAGCCCCCAGAGATGAACAAAGATAGGGCAGCCTGGGTCCAAACCAGGGCCAAGACTCAAAGGCCATCCCTCCCCTGCTCTGTTCAGACTTGGGGGTCACTGTATTCTTTGCTACCTGCAGATCTCGAAGTCCTAAGAGCAAAAGAAGAGAAAAGAACAAGGAACGGAGACGGTGAGCACCCTTCCCAGTTCTCCAGTCAGTGCCCCCAGCCCCCGCAAACACACACAGCAAAGCCCAACCTTTAGAATCACAGAACCAGGCCGTTTAGATAGCTCATGTCGTCCCCCTTGACCAAATGGAAAAACTGAGGCCTAGAAAGGAAGCCAGGAGTCCCTAGTAGGCCAGTAGCAGAGCAGGAACTGGAACCAGGTCCCTTGTTTGCCATCCAGGGGTTCCTCAGAGTCAATTGGCTGAAGAGTCCATCTTGGACCTATGACTATCTCCAGACAGGGCACTACTACAGGTGGCGGGCAGTTATTTCTCTCACAAGAGCAGGGAGTGAAGACACCATTCCTGAGGCTCACAGATGAACTAGGAGTCCTGGTGTGGCACTGTGGGTTAATGCGCTGGACTGCAAAGTCAGTTTGAACTGCAACGTTGGTGGTTCAAGCTCACCAGCCGCTCTTCAGAAACCCTATATAGGGTCACTATGGGTCGAAACTGACTCGATGGCACTTAACAACAGATGGTCTAGCTGGCCCTACACACCGCCAAACTCCATCAAGTCGGTTACAAGTCACAGAAAGCCTATTTATAAACAGAGTTTCTCAGACTGGGAGCAGACAGCCTCATCTTTCTCCCAGGAAGAGCTGGTAGGTTTGAATTGCCAATGTACAGTGCCACCAGGCCTCTCTGGCTCTGGGCCCAGCACCTCCTATGTGACCCATGTAGGACCCTGCGGTGCTGGGGCACTAGGACTCCTCTGGGATCCCAGGAGGAAGTCCGGCAACCTGGGTACCGGCTGACTTCTCTCCCCTGTACCAGGCCGCACGGGGAGTCGCCAGGCCGGAGGTCCCATAGGCACAGCAGTGGAAGCTCCCACAGCCCCTCCATCTCCTCCCACTACAGCGACTCGCGGTCACCCAGCAGGTAGGTGCTGGGGCACTGGAAGGGATGGGAGCGGGGTGAAGGGAGGCCTGGGCATGCGGCCTGGTGGACACAACTCAACTAGCCAGCGCCTGGGGCTGACTACGGGAGTCCTTGCGCTCCCCAGGCTCGGGGTGGGGGAGGTGAGCTGAGGGTGTCAGGATCCTAAATGGAAATCCGGGAGGTCTCTGCTGCACGGAGCCTTATTTTCTCTAAACGGGTGGGACGGCGGGCTCCCCATGCGCCGGCTCCTCATGCGCCCTAATCCCTCAGGCTGAGCCCCAGACACCGAGACGATGGGCGGAGGACGGGTAGCCAGCGGTCCAGCGGGAGCCGGTCGCCTTCCCCGTCCGGCGGCAGCGGATGGGGGTCGCCCCAGCAGAACGGCAGCAGCGGGCAGCGGAGCGGAGCGCACGGGGGCCGCCCGGCAGCGCACACCCCGCCCGATGTACGTACGCTTCGTAGTCCGTAGCGGTGCCGCGCCGGCCGGCAGCCAAAGAGCTAGGACGGGAAGCGGGGAGGGCTGGGACGCTTTTCCGCCCGCACCCCCCTCGCCCAGCGCCAGGTGAGGGGGGCCTGTCGGTTCGGATCCCCTTGACTTGGCGAGCTGAAGGCCGTAGAGGGATTGACCACTCTTGAACAAGTTGGGAGCAAAGCGGTTGAGGAATCCAGTCCTCTTGCCTCCCCCGAGGCGTTCTGGGGTGAGGGGGGGCTTCCGTGAACCTTGTAGGGGTCACAGTCAGGGGCAGGACTCTGAGCCTCCCTTCCCCCTCACCAAGCCTTTGCCCCCTCTGACTCCCCTTTTCCTGCCTGGGAACCCCTCCACCATTCTCGCTGCCAGTGAGCTGTTTCTAAAGGCCCTTGGCACAGGAGAATCGATCGTACCCACACTTGGACAGACGTCTCGGTGGCACCTACCTAAGCCCACTACTACCTCAGAGACTTCAAACCAACATCACCCCTAAAACTGCCCTCACCCATCCACCACAGGCAGGCGCTGGCAAAAGGGCAGGCTCTCAGCCCTCTGCGCAGGAAGACCAAGTGCGTGGGGGTGGCCTCCCAGACCCCAGGGGAGGTCCGCATGGACTTTTGTCTATTTATCACCAAGTATAGGGTTGAGGTCTCTTAGAGAGGGGCCTGCGGTGCTGACAGAGGCCCTAGGTGGTCACAGAAGCCTTGTTCTGGGCAGCCTTCAGGTTCCTCCCAAATGCTCAGCAGGGAGTGGGGAGTGAGATCCTCCCCAGACCTCAGGTCTCAGCAGCAAACATTTCCGTGTTGGTCAGTTTCATTTTGATTTTTGGCTGTTTCCTTTTACTTCCTTTCCTTTCTCTAATCCCCTTACTCCCTTGGAAAAGTCCATGCAGCTGGCAAGAGCTCTTGGTCTCCAGGTTAACTTTTATTGAAGGACATTATTTGTCTCTAGACTACCCCTCTTGGAGAGGGTGCCAGGCCCCTGGGCTCTGTGGGGTGTGGCTGGGTCACATGGGATGAATCACACGGATGCCTGGCTCTTCCTTGAGGTAGCGGAAGGCACACTGCTCAGAGCAGCCATTGTTGTTGTTAAGTGCCATTTAGTCATTCCAACCCATAGCAACCCTATAAGGTTTCCAAGAAGTAGCTGGCGAGCTTGAGCTTGAACTGCCAATCTTGCAGTTCAAACGACTTTGCAGTCCAACGCACAGTGCGACACCAGGACTCTGTGGCAGGGCTGAATCACAGCATCCAAAGATGATTATCTCACCTGGCCAAACCCTGAAGAGAGTGTAACCACCCCATGGGCACAGAACCCTAATGGAACAGCGTCCCCAAACATTTTCTCCTATGGCCTCCTGAAAGACACAGAACCCCAGCTTCTCTTCAAGTCAGGGCTCCAAGGAGGCCCCTTCCCACTCCTGGTCCCTTTCCCTAGCCCTGAAGGGCTGAACAGTTCTGTCCCTTATCCCCCAGGGCCACAGGAATTAGCTAGCCCTACCCCCACCCCCCAGGTGAGATTAGTCAGTTCAAGTCTTTGTGCTCAGAAGTCTTTGTTGTTGTTGTTAAGTGCCATCGAGTCGGTTCCGACCCATTGCGACCCTGTACAGGGTTTCCGAGTCTTGGCAGCATCTAAATCTTGTCTCCCTCCCCAAATGGGACTCTGGCTTTAATATTGACTTGGGGAGTGTTCTACCTTTCACAAAACATAGTGCCCCAAATCCTACCCCAAAACTTGGGTTCTTGGGAGACCTGGGATCTGAGCGCATTCTTGGTCTCTCAGCTGTCCTGTCTCCTGCCTTTGTCTCCACTTGCTCTCAGAAAGACTTTGTGTGTAATTACTGAGGCAAATTCTCCCTTGGATCCAGGAAGGTGAGGTATCTGGGGGAACAAATATTGGGGGTGGCATTCTTGGGCACTACCTTGGATAAAGAAAAAGAGAGAGAGAGAAACAAAAGGGGGAGAAGGAAAAAAAAAACCACTTTTTAACCCAGTCTATGTTTTTGTTTGTTTTTTAGCCTCCCATTTGAAACGTGGTAATACTGTGATTCCATTTCTGGTTCAGCAGACCAGGGATGAGGGTGGGGAAGTTTATGCAATTTTTCCTGTTATTTCCTTTCTGTTTGTATTTCTTTTTTCTTTTTTTTCCTTTTGTGATGTACAGAAATGCAAACTTTCTGTGTTTATATGTTTTGTTTCTATCTTCTGTTGTTCTAGAATTTTGCTTTTGTGGGTGTTTCTGTGGGACCCTTTCCTTGTAAATGTAGAGTTGATTTTTGAATTTCAAGTGAACATCAATCATATACGTATCTCTCACATTCCTTTTTTTTTCCCCTTTGTAATCAGAATTTAAAAGGGAAGATAACTCTAAATAGAATAGGTCCCACACCATCCGCTTCTGCCAAATCTGTTAACAGCAGGGCTGCACTGGGACTACCTCATCTCTCAAATTAGTGCAAGCAGAGTAACTATGCTTCTTTGTCCCTGATTTTAATGAGTCTCGGAGAGAATCTGAGAGACCCAGGGAAGGGAAGAGACATGTCCTTCCTGAATCATACTGGGAACCTCCCGGTTCTTCTCAGTTTACTCAAGTACAACATGAATGGGAAGAACATGGTGGGGCCAAGGAGGGCGAGGCTGCTCAGCACTTTCAGTATCAGGCCTGAGATCTTCCAGGAGGGGGCTGAAGGCAGCTGACAGAGTTTAGTTCAAGTGAGGGAGGACCTCAAAGCCAGAGGTCCCAGACAAGGAGGAAGTCCCATCCTACACTTGAGAACAGTAGAGTGGTTCTCAGTGCATCTCTTCAATGTCGCATCCCAGGCCAGGGCTAAACCTCAAAAGACTTTTTCACAGATGCTTATAGATGATACAACTACAGCACAGAGAGGTCAAATGCCTAGCTCAAGATCACACAACTATTTACAGGTAGATTCCAAAGTAGATTCCAGCTCTCTGGCCTTAAGAACTCTAACCCATGGAGAAGGAAAGCATCCTCCAGGGTGACTCTGGTTGTCTCGGGTCCTTCCCTCCAGATGTTCACAGCATACTGCCAGCTCTCTTAACTCCCTGGCACTGGGCCTGTTCACACTGAGAGACTGGGGTGCAGGTGGGCCCCAAGGTCCACATACCCACTCTGTGGAATTGCTGACTCCTCGGGGAACCTTAAGTCCTCATACTTTGTATGTCTGTGGTAGGGAACTTGCTCAGGGTCACACAGTGCAGGGTGGACGAGTAAAATGACAAGCAGTCTTATTATAACAAAACTCATAAGACAAGTCCACCCGTCCAGTCTCCCCTGGTGCCTTCACTGACCACCCTCCAGCCCCCAAAAGGCCCAACACAGTGGCCACAAAGACTGTATGGAATTTGCAGTCTTAGAAACAGTGTCCTACCTGTTTCTAGGATTAGACATGTCAGGGAAGCTCACAGGTGACATCAAGAAAGCTCCTGAGTAAGACCTGGATTTCATCACGTAGTGGGCAGTCTACCGCCCATCTCAGGTCAGGAGAGGAGTGGGGGGTCATAGCAGAGGGGAGACCTCTGTATTTCACCCAGCTGTTCCTCTTGTTTCCCAATGCTGAAGCCAAAACGAAGAGGAATGGATTTTATACTAAAAGGAAACAGAAGTCAGGGGCAGAAAATGAATGAGTTGAATGAGGCTCAGTCTTCCAAATTGAGTCTGAGGCTGCCTTCCCTTTTAAAATCACACTTCCCCTTCCACCACATCTGTCCACTTGGATTGGCCTTGTGAACAGCTTTCTGTTTTCTGTCGGGGTCCACCTGTCTCCCTATCTCGCTGCCTCGGCCTGTTGGCCTCTCTGTTTCCTTCTGCCTTTGTCTCTGTATTTCCGTTTTTTCTTTCTCCCTGTCTCTCTAATGTCTGTCTGTGTCTCTGTCTCTCTCTTCCTCTCCATTTCTCTCTGCTGCCATGGGCCTCTCTCCCCACGCTGCCAGCCCCCTCATTCCACCCACCCTGTGGTACTGCTTCCATCAACTGCTTCCTGCATGCCCTCTGGAGACTTTCTGTTGAGCAAAAAACTAAGAAAAGCTTGGCTATTGGAGCCCTAGGATTGGAACAAAACATAACAAAACAAAAAAAAACAGCTAGCAATGGCTGGGCAAGAGTCCCTTCCTATCCTTGGGGTGACGGGAAGCCATACTGGCTGCCGGTTCGGAGGGGGAGCGCAGTGTAGAGTCCTGTCTTCCCTTCTTCTGCATTCCCAGTGCAGAGATCTTCTTTTCTTTTTTATTATTGCATTCCTTTCCCTGACCACTGAGAAGGTAGGTACCGCCTCAGCTGCGCCATGCCCCCTCCCATCTCCAGATAAGCCCCGCCCTCACTCTGCTTGGTTTGAATGTAATTTTCTTTCTTTCTCAATCTCACTCTGGCGGGGTTTATCCCCGCCCCCCTCGCTTCTTCCTTTCTTTCTTTCAGTGACTACTCCTTTGTAACTTGCATTTCCTTCAAATGAGCTACAAAGCGCTGTTTCCTAGTTTGTCATTTTGGTTTTCTTAACTCTCCCCCCTTCTCTGGTTCATTCTTCCCTCCTTTACCACCTTCTCTGCCTCTCCTCCTCCCTCTTCACCCCTTCCCCATTCTCCTTCATGCCTTCTCTTTCTCATTTTGTTGTCCGAATGCATTTCTGTGTGGTTTAGTGGGTCCGAGTTCATGTTCCCTTCCTGAACTGTACGCTGCTATTGAGCCAATTTGATTTCTGTTTTTGGAGTAACTGCTAAGCCCTTCACCCCTGCCAACCCGTGAATCTGGTCACCCCACTGGCCCTCGGAGGCCCCACTTGGGGAGTCAAATAGTAGAGAAGCTGGAGGAAGTGCTGGCTGAGGTGGGGAATAAGAAAAGAACGGCAATTAGCACCAGAATGGAACCTGGCCAATCTTTTGGAGCCCACGGATCGTTTAACTTGGGGATGTGCAGGGTGATGTAGAAGGCTGGTTTTTAAAAAATCTGAGGACAATGTGGGGGTTCACCCACCACTGCCTGAGGCTCAGGTCTCTGAACTCTCCCCTATTACCCAACCCAGACAGGGGCACGCAATTCTACCCTCACCACCCTGTCACCCCACCCCACCTGGCCCCAAGCCTTCTCATCTTCTGGATTTGAACAGCTTAATGTGGTCCCTCCGTGCAAAAGTACCCCGAAGGGACAGATAGTTAGCAGGATATTGTGGCAGAGCCAGGCCCAGACCCTGGGCTCATCCAACCACACACCTAGGGTATCACTCAGGGACCTTGCCTTCCCACCCTGCCCCTTTAAACTGCTGTCTGTCTTTCCTGAAGTATGGTATTCCAACCTGTGTAAGGATCGGTGGGCCTCCATTCTCAGCTTTCAAAGGGGAAAGCTCAGCTATCCATCTGGGGCGCTTGCCCACTCAGAACAGTCTCCTCAGCCCCAGGTGGTGCTGGGAAAGCAGACAAGGAAGTAATCACTCCTCAGAGAGGGAGAAAGATCTGGCAGCCTAACCCCTAAGGAGTTCCAGAACCGATCAAGGAACCAGAGATGAAACACTTGGATGCAGAGCTAGAGGGAGTTAGTGGTCTAAACAAGGAGGAAGCATGAGTAGTGCATCTCAGACAAATGACTATTTGTTCTGGTCAGTAACAGTATCAGGATGGGGATA